TTATAATTTTTTCTATAATTTAATTACAAAAAAGATATTTATTGAATGTTTAACTCGTACTTTTAAGACAAAATTATACTAGCTGATGTCTCATCCCAAAATTAATACTCTTTGGTTAAGCGGTTGTTGTAACGTAACTTTAGGTGTCGAATTCATAGAGAAACTATATTAAATTAACAAAAAGAGTTGTCATAATGAAAAATTAAATTAAAAGATGAATTCTAAAATTAAGAATAAAAATATTTAAATAAAAGATGATAATTATAAAAGATTGAAAACAATATTATGATAAACAAGACTTCAGGGTTCACTTAATTGATTTGTTTAACTGTTATAAATTTTAATTCCTATTTATTACTCAATTACATGTTTCACATCCCAAACAAACAATCGGAAGATTTAATTGTGAAGACCAATAATAATAACTAATTATTTATTTTGAGAGAAATTGATTTCAATAAAGAGCAAACTGATTTATCATTACAAGCTATTTGAGAGCGACAATATATCTAATCGACAATATTGTAATAAATGATCAACCCGTAAAACAAATCTATTAATCAATTATATTCTAATAAATTACACATAAAAAGAGCATGATTAATCTTATATGAAATTTTATAAATATAATTTTTAGGGTTTTCAAATCCGAAAAATAATTAATAATTTTTCAAAAATAAAATTAAACAATAAAATCTATGAAGAAATCAAAATGAAATAACAAGTCAAACTCCTCAATTAAGATCCTTTCTAGTTTTGTTGAAAATTTAGTTACCCTTTAATATAATTCTCTAACTTTGAAGAAGAAAATAAAAGCGTAGAAACTGTTTTTCTAAATGCTAAACCTAATTTTTAAGCTCCTATTTATATTAGAAATAAAATAAGAGTGTTTGGTAACTATGATAGCAGCCTCGGAAAATTAATTTTATTTTTTCTTTCTTCCCGCATAGTCTTGTCGTAGAGGGGTTTGAACGTCAATGAGGGTGCAGAACCCCTGATGTTTTTGTTTTATGTAACATTGCCTAGGGGTTGGAACCTGGAACAAGTTGCGGAACCCCTGATGCTACTGGAATTCCTTTCGCGCTGGTCACGACAAGTTCACGGACTTGCGAACTTTGCTCTTAATCAAATATGGAGAAATTTCACTTTAGCCTTTAAAGTTCCAGATTTATCCTTGGATCTTTATCTTTCCAACTCTTTGCATTTAAGTCCTTTTTTTAATTCTTCTCCATTTAACATCAAACCTTTAATCATTACAAAATTCGCACAATATGAATGAAATGAACACTTATGAAATTACTTATAAGAAAATACAATTCTTAAACTCATAATTTCATAAATATCATTGGTTAAGCACACTTTAAATATACATTTTCTTTCTTTCATCGCTAGCTTAATAAAAAATTATTTTAATTAGATAATTAATTAAATAAATGTTAATTTTTATTTTTTTAATAATAATTAATATTAAAAAAAGTGTTCTTATAAGTACAAATTAAAAAAATTTATAAAATAATTTATATAAAATGATACGTCAACAATTTTAAAATATTTTTATGACTCACTATCTCAAAATAATTATTATTTTTTCATCCTTAAGCATTATTATTACTATTTACTTTAATTAATTATCATAACACAAAAACCTTCTCTTTATCTTTTATTACTTTAATTAATCATCATATCTTTTATTTCTCTTTTCTCTCTCATCTTTTATTGCTTGGAATGTAATGTATATTTAGTACCAATTGTATGCTTAAAATGTCTGAAACTTAAAAGGTTAAATGTTACTTTTTTGGTCCCTCAACTTAAAGTTTTAGGTAATTTTTGTCTTTCAATTATTTTATGTACTTTTTTAATCCTCAATTATGAAAAATACACTTATTTAGTTATTTTGTCGATTAGTTTATTAAGTTTGTTTAAATATGCACATTTTTAGTCCCTTGACTTAAAGTTGAGAGACAAAAATTGTGCATATATTAGAAATTGAGAGATTAAAAATGTACATATTTAAACAAATTTAATAGAATAATTGATAAAATGACTAAAATAGTATATTTTTCATAGTTGAAGGACCAAAAAAGTGCAAAAAAAATTGAAATACGAAAATTGTATTTTTAGTCCATTGATTTAAAATTGAGAGACAAAAAAATATACATATATTAGAAGTTGAGGGACTAAAATGTACATATTTAAAAAAATTTAACAGAAAAATTAATGAAATGACTAAAAGAGTACACTTTTCATAATTGAAAGACAAAAAAAGTACAAAAAAAATTGAAAGATGAAAATTGTACAAAACCTTAAAATTGAAAGACCAAAAATAGCATTTAACCAACTTAAAATTATACCTTATGGCTCCATGATGATCCTTTTTTAGTGAAATACTGATCACCATATAAGCTTGCGTGAATTTTAAACCGTAAACATGCATAATTCTTATGAAAATTAGCAGCCTGTTGTTACTAGCCGTTGGTACAAAATACATGGTATATTTGTACTACTTAATTGAGTAATGATAAAGGCTACCAATATTTTTTGGACCAAAATTTGAGATAAATAATATAGTGTAAATTTTGTCATTTAATATATTAAAAAGTAAATTTTATATTATTTAATAATTAATTTTTTAATTAATTGGGACTCATAATATTATATATGTATTAAATTATTTAGTATCATCATTTACGCCACTTTGTTTGTCCCGAATTTTAGTTTTATGGACCACTACTTATTTAATATATTGATGGTGCATATTACTCTCTCTTATCAAATTTAATTGTCTCACTTTTTACATATAAGTGATCTAATTTAGTTGTCCCTCTTTTTATTTTAATAACACTTAAATGATAATATTTCAATATTACAATTATAACAAAATAGATGAAAATGTATTAAAATTTTTTATTTACTTATAAATAAAGGTAAAAATGAAAAGATAAATTTTAGTTATTATAATAAATGAATTTTTTAGTAATTATGAATGAATAAAGTGGAATAACTAAATCTAACACTTAAAAAGGAGTAGCAATTATCAATTGTGCGATAATTGTCACATGATTGCTTGATTGTATTTATAAAATTAATGGGACTAATCATGTGAATTAAATGTGATTATTGGTTAAGCAAGAATATTAGGCAAAAACCCTTTTTAAGCCCTCAAACTTACCCCAAAATAACATTTAAACCTATAAACTAAAAATGATGCAAATAAGCCCTCTAACTCCATTAATGATGCAAATAAGCCATTTTTATTTATGGGTGCTCATGCTTTCAAGGTGATATTACATATGAGATACCGTTTATCCCGTTTTTAAAATGGGTTTATTTGCATTATTAATGGAGTTTGAGGGTTTATTTGTTTTATTTTTAGTTTAGGAGCTTAAATGCTATTTTAGGATAAGTTTGAGGACTTAAAAAAGGTTTTTACCAAAATATTAAGGTTTGTCTACTGTGTTAAGTTAATAATGCATTAATTACATTTTTTTACTATTAATTTATATAATACTAAAATATAAAAGTTAATTTTATTTTCAACATTGATAACACGAGTGTATAATTTTTATTAGACAAATAATAAAATAAAATAAAATATTTATTTTTTATAACAGTAATAAAAAGTATATAGTTAATAAAATCTTAATAAATGCTTTCAAGGCATATAATAAAAAAACTTAAATTAATAATATGATTTGGGATATATGCGGCTCAACAAATTTGAGGGTGCTCTTTTTTTATTATGAAAATTTTCAAAGAATTAAAATTGCTTGAAATTAGGAATATTTGAAGGAAAACTTTAATGTTGTACATGTTAAACTTGAGTTATAATTCCCTCTTGTTAAAAGCTTAATGAGTTTTTTTTTTTTTTATGGACCATCCGGTATTTGGGAGCCTACTGAGTCATTGACTAATCCGGATTCGATCCGGATAGAATCTAATAGGTGATAAAACTCTCCCGCATGAGTTTTAATGAAGTTGTATTTTCAAAACTTAAAATCAAAATATTTAATTAAACTGAAAGAGTTCTCAACTAACTCATCCACCCGCTCATGAGTAAAGTTTATTAAGTTTAAATCTACACTAATCTTTTTCACAATGTATTTTAAACCCATAAAAATATTACAATAACTGAATTTCACACCTATGTTAAAAAGTCTTGAATTAGTAGTTAATTTATTTATTAAATCTAAATCGCCCATTGATAAGACCCCACACAACTAATTTTTTTAACAATTCTATCATTGACTAATTAGTTCTTTCCTATTCAATTTTAACTTTTGTTTTTTTAATTTGACTTGTTTAAATTTAATGACTTAAGTCGGTCAATGCACGTGTTCTAAACCTGGAAAAGCAGCAAAACCCTTCGATTAGGTCTAAACTCCAAGGTTAAATCTCAAACCCAGGGTTAGGTTATTTCAATATAAATATATCATTGTTCTCAGACATAGGTACGCCCACCACCCCATTACGGAGCAAAAATCTTCACCTGTGCACCCAAATTACCTTTGCCAAAAACCTTAACCAAACGTGTTTCAACAGAAGGTTAATTTCCACATTCGTTCGTCTGGCCCTTTTTTATGTTGATTGCTGGTCTTCCTTCAACAACAAAAGCTAATTTATTTCCTTGAAAATGATTCGTGTGTTTTTATGTGTTATTTACGGTAATTTTACGCATTGTATGTGTTTGATTTGATTAAGAATTTGTTTGGCATCGTAATTTAAGAATAGGG